TAGTAGGCCAATACCTCCTTTCCAAGAAGAGACCTATGTCCAGCAGTGGACTACTAAAGGCTGCTGATGATAAGAAACGTGTGAACAGTCTTCCAATTTCATTAATTTCAAACCATGGTGTAAATAATCAGGAATGACACGCGTTTTTAACAAAAAGGAAATATCAATTAACAAATAGGTCTGATTAATATTCATACTTTTTGGTAACGGTCATTTTACAGCCGTAATACGTAAAACGAATTGAGTTGTTCATCATTAGGCGAACATTAATTACAGTTATATTTACCGTGGGTGTGTATTAATGGCAACACTGAGTGATTTGTTTGCCATCGTTTGGTGTGAACGTAAGCATCCCAGAATATCACTTTTAAATACTTTAAATACATTTGTACTAAATAAGAACCATATTATAATAGTAAAAATTATCTAATTATTTGCTGAGAGCCACGATCGGTATATAGACTCCCGTTAGACGGCTAGAGCATGGGACTAGTGGTATCGGTGGCTTGGTTCTGGTTCTGGAGTTGTTACTATTACAGGCGCAGAGTGGCATACCGTGTGGTTTCAGTTGGTCCGATTCCGCAACACCCGTTGGGGTGACGGCCCGAGGGGGTTTCCACACGAAAAAAAAGACTACGATGGCCTACTATACCACGCTGGCCAGACGGATTGGTAAAGGGTTTGTGTCGAGTTTTCCTTCTCTTTGCAGTGATGTTGTATTGCTTAGTTTGCTCCCCTAGTCATCTCTTACGACCACGGGATGAATGGGGGTGGCGACAATTCGTATTCTTAATCCGTCACCACACGGATAGTCCGTGTGGTGACGGATTAAGAACACGAATTATCTTGCATAGATTGCCTTGCATAGACTATGCATTGAAGCGTCGTGTTTTGTTTTATGCGATATTTTTTATTAATAGTTATTATAGTATGTTGCCTTTTCTTTTTTTATGATTTAAGGGGAAAACAAGCGGACTTTTGACCTGATGGTAAGTGACTACCGCTGCCCATGGACTCCAGCAACTCAAGAGTCAGAAGTGTGTTGCCACTCTATCAGTCCCTAACCCAGAATCAGGAGGGTGGGAAGGGTATTGGCTCCGGTAACCTCACTAACCTCACCTGCTTAACACTAGTGTCCTGAGACGCTGTGGTATCATATTGGTCCACCCGGGCCTATACGTGCGGAAACATGGCTCACCTAAAAACTCCTTGAAGTTTTAAATAAAATTTTAGATTCTCAAGTTAATAGTTTATATGTATGTTTACGAAAATATTATATATTGCTATTGACTGTGGCTTTATTTGCGTGGTTACTTAATTGTTGCAGTCCAGTGACCAGTCTGCTCGTTTGCGCCCTCTTCCGTAAAATAAAAGAAATATACGCATTTAGTTTGGAAAACAGTAAGTAATTTTTTTTTTTTTTTGTTTTTAAAAAGACAACTCCCGCATTAGGAATATATCCTGTGTCGCGGGGGACTTTACAAACATACATGAAACGGACACAAAGAACACCCAGACTCAGAACAACAATTTGTGGATCACACAAAGTGACGTCCCATGTGGGGTTTGAACCCACAACACTCGGCGCAGTAGGAAGCGGCGGGAAATCTTTCTAATATTATAAAGGCGATGGATGTTTTGGATGGATGTGTTACTCTTTTACGCAAAAACGGCTGAACGGATCTGGATGAGATTTCACACAGAAATAGATTATAGGCTACTTTTATTTCAATAAAACGTAGCGGTCTCGTGGGTCTCAAGGTGGTGGTTTTGCTCAACCCATGAGAAAACTACGTAGAACAACAGCACTGCAGAGAGAAGGAAAGCTTGACACAAACACTATACCCACCCGACTGGCCAGCGTGGTATAGTAGGCCAAAACCTCCTTTCTAAGGAGAGGCTCATGTCCAGCAGTGGACTAATAAGGCTGATGATGATGATGCGAACACTACTTTTTTATATTACGTAACATGAAACAAACAAATTTATTTTATGGACGATTGAAGCTAATAAGCTTAGCTTTAAAAACTTTTGGTTTAATTAACAGAAATTGATATAAAAACGTCACAACGGTTCGTTTTGTAAAAAATTGCATGTAATGACGTGTTATTAGTTATACCTATTGCAAAATTAAAATTTCAAATAGAGAACTTTTACATAATTCTAAATTTAAAAACAATAATTCATTTTCTTTTTAGTTTTATGTCATACTCAAGAATGTACACAATTTATTATAAACCATATATAACCATATTATAAACCATACCCTATTATATAAATAAAATATAAATATAATAAAAAAAATGCTTCCATAATATTAAAAACTATATAATTTATATTTAGAATATCTATAAAAACGTAAAAAAAGTATTTATAAGTAACCGACTAAGGCTCACCGTGAGGCTTTCCTACTTGTTTATACCCAATGTAAAAACAAAACTTTTGAAGATAACTTTCTAACTTACTGATAAGTCTGTCTAATAAATGTTCAATATAACAATTAGATTTCTTGATTGCAAAAGATAAACATTTTATTTCTATGACACTAAAATATGTCACATTTCATTATATTTTACATTAAAAATATACGTGTTATTTATTATTAAAATATATATATTTTTTAAATTACGTACCAAATAACAATAATCATACAAGTCACAACACAAAGTCCACACCACTTTTAAACTATATTTAAATAATGTCACTTTGTTCGATTCTCAAATTTGGCGCTTAATTTCCCGAATGCGAACTAAGGCAACCGGTTCACACGGCCGCCGCTATTCTACTGTAACGCATTTGTAATAAGGCGGCGGACGCACTGGGCTGCTGTCCACCTAAAAGACCTATTGGAGCTTGCATACTCGTTACGCGATTGTGCTCTTGTCTTGTTGTAGGCGGATTATATTATATACATGATATAATATATATTTAATGAATATTTTCTAACACTTTTTTAAAGTTTTTTTTTTGTAAAAGGTTACAAATACCTTCGCAGTACCTCGACCTCATCCACATGATTTAGACTATCGAGGCCAGCTTTATTGGGGTACTTACCTGCCTATCCTATCATGATCAGGTCTTCTGGTATTTTTTTTTTTACAGAAACCACTTCATATCTTAAAAGCGTCGCGGCTGCTGTCAATCAGCATTATGACTTGATGCCTCTCTGCTACACGGATTATATTTGTTTCAACGCAAAGCTATATTTTTACTTAAAACAACGTATAAAGCTTTTAACATATCTGTCAAAATTTTTTTTTTTTAATTTATTATATTAGCTTTAATTTATTAGCTCTTTTGAGAGTGTACTAAACGCTACGAAATTAAAAGAAAAACAGATCTATAAACGTTTCTACATTAGCATTATCAAATATCGTGATGGCCAACGGTTTACGATCCATTCGATTTTTAAAATATTTGGTCGAGAGGTTATTTTTGGCCATCTGGCCAATCTCATAAAGGTTTTTTGTAAGATCAGACTTCGTAGTGATAAGAATTACATTTTTAATTTTTTATTCGTTATAAAGTTTATTTCTGGACATTACTGTTGTCTATTTTGTCTATGGGATGTACTTGGCTGCAAGGATGGCGGAGTGGTTTAAGCGGTCACCTCGCCGCTTCCTGCTGCGCTGTTGTGTGTGTTGAGTGTTGTGAGTTCGATCGCCACATGGAAAAGTCTGTTCTGATTCTAGGTGTTTTTTGTGCATGTTTAATAATTGTTTGTAAATTCCTCCGCGACACAGGATATATTCCTAGTGCGAGAGTTGTCCTTAAAACAAGGATAGTTATCACAGGCCGGTTTTAGGTGGATGTCAGGGGACCCCTTTGTTTTGACTATTTTTTTTTACTAATTTAATTTGGCATAACGAGTTTTGTAAGTAGGTAGGTTCAGTAGGCATAAATATCATTTAGGCTTATGTGTTTTGCCCTAATTTAGATAGACATAAAGTTACAAGATTACGTTTATTTAATAAAAATACTATACGTATTTTTTCATAATTTTCCATGTGAAATATACAAGTATATATGTGTATGTAACTTTTATATTTGATATGCATTGAAAAATAGAAAGTAGGTATTATATCGAATATATCTTGGGTGTAGTAGTAACAATGGGATAGGGTGCGGCAGGGGCGACCCTTGGGCAACCCATAAGCCGCCAACATATTTATTTTATATATGAAAAGTATTTTATTAAAAATAAAAATGGGTCTACTCTTTATGGCAGAACGTTTAATGTCATAATATTATTTTGCATAACAACGGAAACCATAAACTTCATTTCATAGAAGACCGTCGAAACCACCTTCTCCTCAGCTCGCGGGCCGCCTCGCCCCCCCCGCGCCTACGCGAGCTTTAATTACACTCGAGGGGTAGGACAGACAAGACTACGTAGAGTCGGTCTAAGCAATCTCTTTCAGGCAACCTTGGGATGGACAAATAGATTGTAAATAGGTAATTTCATGGGCAGATGTGGTGAGAAAAAAGTGTAAAGGAAACAAAAAAGAAAATAAAATATTTAAACAGCACAACAGCATTCCTTTGACAGTTATAAAACAAAGTAGTGTTAAATATATACAGCAGTCAGTCCTAGCAATACCCACTAATATAAATACAAATTAATACATAAGTAATCTGTAATACATACATACATACACAAATACATAAACTCTAAAATTCATTTGCAGAGGAATACACCAGATAGGATAGAGAATACGCCAATATGTTTTGTAAATAATAAATTAAAATTAGAACAATGTTCTTTGAACATTTTTTTAAAGGTAGGTAGTAAATTAATACATTTAAAATAAATAAAGTAAAATTCTCTATTTTCTCTTGTATCTACCGCATCATTTTTGTACACCACCCGAAGGTCGACTGGCAGAGAATGCCCTGGGCATTAAGTCCGCCTGTGTACAACTTGTGCATTAAGTTATAAAAATAAATAAAACATTCAAAATTAAATATCTAAAAATGAAAATTTCGCTTCACTTTTTTTTTTAATTGTGTATACTGTGTGATAGAATAAATGGCGGTACTAGAGACGAGGGCCCGGATCGAGTGCTGTGGGCCGTCGTCTCTGGTGCCGGCCACGGCTCGTGACGTTCTTGCCCACCAATGCCAACACCAGCGCTCGCTCTAGAGGAAGCCAATGTGCGCTTCCACTGCACTGCAGCTAAAACAAAATAGTAATCAGATATTTTATAAGTTATTACTGATGAATGAAATTACTGCTGACGTTGCTCTGACGTAAATATGATCTTTGCAATACTTTACAATTTGATCCTTAAAAATTTCCCGTTGTGTTACGTCATTGATACATTTACTGAAACCAAATTCCGTTAATACAGTTTCGTAATTTATTACATTAATATCACGATAAGCTATAAAATCTATATTTATCAACGTAAATAATTGCTTTTGCGTAAAATATTTAAAAACCTTCGTGGTGTGTTAAGGTCTCGGTGTTAGACGATAAATAAAAGTGGACTGTATGTTGCGCTGGTTTTTAATGATCACAAGAGGTACGTTGAAGGAGCAGTGATCCCGTTCGAGTATATAAAGCGAGTGCCGTACATAATAGCAATCTTGGTGGGAGCCGTTGCGTCCGCGCCCCCGCTTCTTGCTGCCTCCCCGTCACCCGCGCCGCACGCCGTTTGCGCGGTTCAGCCGCTTGTAAGCACCGGCAAACCGTGATGTCGAGGATCGAGGTTTGATTCTCGACATGGTGTATGTATGATGTTAAGTGAATTTGTTCACCATTGTATTCCAGTACCTATAGTGGTAACACATTCTGCGGATCGCTCGTGAGTGCAGTTACCACGCTCAGCAGCAGCTCTTCAAATCAAATACACTTATTTTACAAGATGAAAGTAATGGGTGGGTTATGTTTGGCTTAGTTATAACTAATACTTTAAAAAAACTGGTTATTGTTTAGAGACACCAATCATTCACTAAAGCTTTCTAATAAAACAAATTTTGACATGCAGTAAAAATCTTTATAACTATGTTTACTAATTTGATAAATCCAACGGGCCTACACTTTGTTTCATGAATTTTTGTAAAGTCCAATTATGACTTGTAGACATGCGACATACAAACTTGTTTAGTCGAGATGACATTATAAATAGTTTGTCGTTTGATTTTGAAACTATTAGAACAAAAAACGATGACAAACTACGTCGGGGTTTTCCAAAACTAATTACTAGATGGCGCTACAGGTATCATATAGAAATTTATGATTATAATAGTTACTAGATGTACTCTATAAATAGGTGCACTCTCTTTTTTTACTGCTACGGGTATGAACCAACCCAATACTAATTTAGCCTTAATAATTAACTTGAATTAATTTATTGAAATTGTAGTTTATAAGTTTTTCACCCTTAAATAGGTGAGTTACTAATCTACAACACTAAGATATCGCTATATTAAGGACATAGGTACTGAAATAGCGTTAATAACACTCATTAATAAAAAAAAAACTCACCACATGAGGAAAACAAAACTTCTACATCTGATAGCATTGTGATATTTGGGCGTACACTTCAAGCATTTCCTTGTAGTGATTACAATTGTTTTAGCAAATTGATCGGAGAATTTGACAAACGATAATTCCATAAAACGACTTTATCTTTTAATAATATCATTAATCTGATTGCGTAAACCATTCATGTCAAAAAATGCACTCATAAATATGCGCAATAGTTGATCAAACCTCGTGCTTTTGTTAAAATGCTATCATTACGAATATGTAATCAGAATGGCACAGATCCAATTTCATATTATAATCATTTTTAAGTTTCGTTTCTTGTTTATGAACCTATGAACTCTGAATTGTTAATACTAATACTATATTCTTCTTTGTATGAATAAGGTTAACAAAGACATACGTAATAAATGCACTGCAGTGAAAACAGGTTTCAAAGAGAACTGCAAAATAATTGTAACTAAATTTTGTAATCATGTCACCGATATGTAACTAATATGTTTAATACAAATGCAAGATCACGAATAATAGAGTACTAAACAATGATACAATAGTCGTTAAGAGAGTATTTTATTTAATAACATCACACATCATCACATCAACAGCCTTTAATAGTCCATTACTGGACATAGACCTCTCCTCAGAAAGGAGGTTCTGGCCTACTATACCACGCTGGCCAGAGGTGTTAGTATAGGGTTTGTGTCAAGTTTTCCTTCTCTCTACAGTGTTGTTGTCCTGCGTAGTTTAGTCCCTTAGTCGTCGTCGTCTTACGACACCCATGGAATAACATCGTCTTTGAATTGAAGAAACCCTTTTTGCGACAAATGCAAAGAAAATAATATCGACTGGAAATCTCTATCCACTCTATATTTTAAAACTTAAGTTCATGTGTATTAACAACTTTCATTTTTTGGTATAATCATTGGTATTTACTGCAGCAGGAAATTGAAAGAAACAAAAGAATTCAACCAATTAATCAATGTATTACGATCGCGTTGTAAAAATGTGATTGGTCTGTTTTGACAAATGACTTCGTAGCGACCAACGACTAACCAATATAAACGACCACGTCTTTGCAGTGCTGTTGTTTTGCGTAGTAGCTTCCTTAGTTGGCTTTTACAATACCCACGGGATGAAAAGGGGGGTTACACTTTCTATTCTTACTTCAAAATATTAGAACAACAAAATTATGGATGTTTTATACTGTAAGAAATTCATTAATGAGTTATTTCATTCCCATAGTGATGAGCCATTTGATGCCAGAATATTCTTGGGAAACTTATGTGTTAACCTGCATAAAATAATATAATCAAATCAAAACTCTTTAGTTACTGAAACGCATATATGTACATGTATGGGAAAGAAAAAATTTAAATAAAACTCGTAATAAAACTTTCGTTAAATAATATATTCATCAGTCACAATGGCAATATGATGATGATGATTACATAAAAGCATATTGCAGTAACATAACAGTATAGTTAGTGAACAGAACCAATATGCTCAAAGGTAACATAGCGTCGATGGAGAATAAATAATAAATTCTGATAACTCCCATAACTTCGTATGTATTTGCATAATTTGTTTTCAAGAACTTCGAAAAAAATAATATTTTTATGCTGATTTCATATAGCAAAGTGTTAGAATATTTTCATATTTTTCACATCATCACATCACATCAACAGCCTATATATAGGTAGGTATATACGTATAATAGGTAGGTACGTAGTTAATAGTTCACTGCTGGACATAGGCCACTCCTTAGAAATTAGGTTTTGGCCTACTATACCACGCTGGCCAGACAGGTTAGTATGGGGTTTGTGTCCTTGTTCTTGTTTGTTGGTCACCATACGGAAATAAAACACACACACGTTGTGAAAGGGGGCTAGACGGAAATAATTCTTACGAAAATTGGTCACGACACTTTTTATTTTGAATTGTCACTTATCAGTCATTCAGCGCCATCTATCGAATAGTAAAATTAAAATTTATGTTCTTAGGTTGAGCAAAAAATATTGTATTCGACATCATTTCTCAAGGAGATTTTACCAATGTATAAATTGTTTTAATTAGAAACCAACTGAAAAATATGTAGGTAATAGCCGCTTTCATAGATGGCGTTGTAATTAAAATCGTGTCTAATCAGTTTTACTCGATCGTAACAACTTCGTTCCTATCGGGTGTCCCACGACACCACACGGCTTTTTTTTTTTATTATATATTTGACACAGTGGAGACCGATTGAACTTTTTTATCACTACTAATTAGCAATTGGAACCCATGAAGCCAAAATCAATTAATAATTTTGACAACCACTTGTGAAACGCACCTGAACAATTTGATTTCAGTATCAACATACAATTTACTCGAGTTTCTTCTAGTGCTTTATAGAACTTCTTACAATAAAAGCTCAACATAACTTGAAATAAGAACGTTTTTAGCCACCAAATGAAATAAAGTAATACTATGATAGGATACTTATTCTGAAAAAAAAGATTCTTGGTTAGCCTAAGGTGACAATTATGGTGTCTTTTATTGATAAAGTACACTAAAAGCATTTCTCAATGTCCTTTTTTAGGGTTCCGTACCTCCAAAGGTAAAAAAGGAACCCTTATAAGATCACTTTCTTGTCCGTCTGTCCATCTGTCCGTCTGTCCGTGTGTCACCACCGATTTTCTCAGGAATGGGTAGACCTAGAATTTGAAATTATTTACCAGATACTGATGTCTATGGTCCCTATTAGGTGTATAAAAATCAAGGCCCTGAGTCAACACGATAAAAAGATATAGGCAAATTTCGATTTTCGCGAAAACTTGTAAGTACCAAAATTTACCTTAATTTTCAACTTTTTTTTTCTCTTTACTTGTGCTCTAAGATCTTGCTTTTAACTAAAATTGATAATTCTAAGTCAACCGTAAGTACCCTATAGGTAGTTTACGTTGACCTAGAATCACGAAATTTGGCAAAAGAAACGTCTTACAGCACAAATAAAGGAATAATTCCAAAAAATAAAGAAGTTGAAAATTAAAATAAATTTTGGTACTTACAAATTTTCGCGAAAATCTACGTAAAATCTGGGTAAGTACGGAACCCTCGGCGCACGAGTTCGACTCGTACCCGACCGTTTTTTTTGTTATACTACCCTCTAGCGCAGAGCAAATCGATACTTCCATTCTTATATTATAATGTCGAAAGTGTGCCTGTCTGTTGCCGCTTCACGTTTAAATCGCTAAAGTAATTTAAATGAAATTTGGTATAAAGATAGTATGAGTCCCAGGAAAGGACAAATAGCATATTGGGCTACGACGCCGAAGTACGGCTACGTAATCCAAGGCCAACACACGGTTGGGTCTTGTCCAAAGTAATTGAGCAGAAATGGTCCCCTTTATTAGAAGTTACATATTCAATTGGGTAAAAATTTCGAAATACGTCGCCATTATTAGGGGTTGTGAGTGGTTGGGGGAGGGGGGGGGGAAGAGGCCCGGTCCCCCACTTACCATTTTCACCCGCCGGAAATACTTGGTTCCCTTAGAAAAAATAAAAACAGAAATTTGTAAAAAAAATTTTTATTCCACTTTATAGACATGTTTTATCGCTTTTATTAATTCCATGAATGGATCTTTCCTGTATTTTACGTTATTTCGCCGCCACAAATATTCAAAAATAACATCTGCAAAATTTTCTGTGTTATTAAAATTGTCCTTCCTAAAAAATCTTTTAACAGCTCTCCACTGGGACTCAATTCGTTGAGTATGAGTCCCATCTTCAGCTATGAATGGGTTGTCACGATCCGAGTGGTTGACTTTTTTGTGTATGTAGCCATGTTCTGGCAAGCAATCATATGCTCTCCAAAAATCAGTGTGGATGGTGGTGCCAATTTCCACATTCTTCAATATAAGTGGCACCAAAACCTCAGCAGAGCGAATATTATCTGGGCACACTTCCAACCTCAGATCTTCAGATCCATCCTCAATCATTCCGAGAACCCAATGGCCCTCAATATGGCGACCTATAACAAAAAAAAAATATATATAAAAACTGGCTTCAATTATGAGTCGACGGAGCCCCGCTAAGCGGGGCTCCTATTTCTGGGTGGTTGGTTAAAAAAAAATAACCACGATGGCTAAGGCGGGAGCTTCGCTGCGCTGCGCTCCCGCCTTAGCCATCTAACCTAACCCAATGAAGTCCGATTGTGAGTAAGAATTATGTCCTACTCTTGTACATTTCCTATAAGACATAATATATAAAATATAATTACCTCGATTGTATTTTCTTTTTCCAAATTTAGATTCATCGATCTGGACTATTTTTCCGGGGCCACCAATCTTTCCAACTACTTCTTTTTTGTCAATTTGGTATGCCACAATGGCTTCTCGGCAATAATTATACCAGTCACATATGGTGGCCCGGCCCAGGCACCTTTCAAAATGTTCCTTGTAGGGATCTTTATTTATGACGTCATTGTAGCTCCATTTTTTTGAATATGCATATAATAGATAGAAAACATGCACCAAATCAATTTTTATATTTTCAAAAAATGTCCCGTTATTGCGTGGTATTTTAGATTTAGATTAACAATTGCCTTTGGTGCAACACCAAGAACCAAATGACCTGTTGGTCGATTTGGCTATTTTCATGGGAGTGCGATGTGTTCTGCATAATTTTTGAGTCTGCACCAATCCATTTTCTTCGGCGAATGCCACATACTGCTCATTCGTGCCCAATTTTTTTATTATTCTCCCCAAATTCCACATCATAAGAACCTCTTCTGTGTAGAGATGTCGATCGAGAAAGGACCCGTCGTCCTCGAAAACATCTTCATATACTGCCGATGCTCCACCAAGGCCCGAACTCGTACACTACTTCCAGACGCCATTGCAAGCTGCGATAGCGTTATTTCAGTGTCCAAAAGTGAGTAAGTCGAGGTCGTACAGTAAAGCAATCCAAACAGATTCCAAGAAGGTAGCCAAGTCGTAGAAAAAACACAAATCGATACGGAAAAACACATTCACTTATACTCAAAAGCAAAGGAATGAC